ACACTTCTAAAATGGCTGAGAGAGCGAAACAGCCACCACAGCTGTAATGATGGTCACAAGGAGAACCAGAACAGCAATGACTGCCATGATGGGGACAGTGGACTGAGGAGGAGGCTCTGGGAAGGGAAGGACAGGAAGGGAAGGTGAGGGTCATGACCCCAGCTCTCAGCCCTGACCCTGCTCAGGCTCTGCAGAAGGATCCAGCTTTCCCTGACCCCAGCTCTGCACCCCTCCCTCCTTACCCCATCTCAGGGTGAGGGGCTCAGGCAGCCCCTCATGGTACAAATGGCATGTGTATTTCTGCTCCTCCCCAGAAGGCACCACCAGAGATGCCCACTTCTGGAAGGTTCCATCCCCAGAAGGCCTGGTCTCCACCAGCTCCATGTCCTGAGTCTGTTCCTCCTCCTCCCTCTGCCAGGTCAGGGTGATGTCAGCAGGGGAGAAGCCCATGGCCCAGCACCTCAGGGTGACATCACCTTTAGACCCAGGATGATGGGTCACATGTGCCTTTGGGGGATCTGTGTGGAAGATTTAAGAAATCCCACAAGAACAAGGTAAAATGAAATCTGCAAAGACAAAGTTAAATCAATGATGACACTGAACTATGTGTCTCAACACTTCTGACTGTCATCACACTGGTGACCTGCAGGGGGCGCTGGTCCCCGCATCACTGATCGGCACATTTTTCAGGGGGACCCAGAAGCTAAAAGGGAATCTCATGAACCAGCAGGTCACACGGTACTCCCTATGTGATGTTGTATAGCATAAGTTAGGTGGTAAAAGTATTGAACATGGAATGAAAAATAATTTATTTATAAACATGATTAAATGCATATCAAAGTAAGAAATTAAGAGGAACGGCATACATGAAGGGTGTCACCAACTACTGCTGCCACCATTGAGGCCCAACCACTATGGCCATCTTGCTGACCAGCATAACTGTCTGTCCAAGTGAACAGCCCTCACCAAAGTGAGCAGCAGGAATGGTGTGAACCTCTGACACTCAGCCAGATAAAATGACTCCCTAACCCCAGCCTCTGGGGGCGAAGATACAAGCTGTTGTCACCCAGGATCCCTGAAAATAGCTGTGGAGCCCAGTGCAGCACTCACTGGGACATAGGTGCTCACAGGGGTGTGTGGATTTTACTTATCAGTCAAGAAAGTTCAACTCCTAATTCACTAGGAGAAACACTGCAACTTGTTCCAGCAGAGGGAGAGCAGTGGGGGTTTGGATGGTTAATTCTGGCAGAAAACAGTCTAAGTTCATGGGACTCTTTCCTTTAATGGGAACTCTGACTTCTGTGATTATCCAGATTAGCAGTCGCCCAGGGAACAAGAAAATGACAACTCAAAAAAAGAAAAAGATAAAAAAGAAAAAAAACCATAACTTTGAGTGTTTTTCAGTGCACCCCCAAAGTGTCACGTGACCATTCAAGGAAGAGATAGATTTGGGGTGAGGGAGGGATGCAAACCTCACGCACAGGAATCTGGGAGATTGTATTCTGTGGAAAGTTCTAGAAACCTGGGAATCACCCTAGGGTCAGGCATCCACCTCTCTATCATGTACTGGAGACTTCCGGTCCTGGTGTGTAAGGCTGACACACTCAGTCACAGAAGCCCCGGCCTGGGAGAGGCCATGGCTGGCAGAGGGCTGCAGACTGAGGAGCCACTGCTGGGGATGTGGGCATCTTCTCTCCCGCCCTCCTGAGACAGATCTGGAACCGTCCAGGGAGAAGTTCTGAGCTCTGGGAGATCAATGCAGCCCCTGCCAGGCTGGATCAGGAGCCCCAGGGACACTGTGTCCCCTCAGAGACAGGGGCGTGACCCCAGCTGAGGGTCTCTTCTTCCTCAGGACTGAGCCCAGCCCGAGGGCAGAGGGAGGAGATGCCCGCGGCCCCTGCACCTGTGCGCAGCAGCTGGTCCTTCCCGTGCTCCAGGTATCTGCCCAGAGACTCCACGCACTCCTCCTCCAGGTAGGCCCTCCATGCGTCTGCAACACCAGCCTGCTCCCACTTGCGCCGGGTGATCTGCGCCGCCGTGTCCGCCGCCGTCAACGTCCTCAGGACCTCGTTCAGGGCGATGTAATCGTCGCCGTCGTAGGCCTGCTGTCCATACCCGCGGAGGAGGCGCCCGTCGGACCCCAC